TGAGGGGGGAAGAGGAGAGGGGGGCCGGATTTGTCCGTCTCTCTCCTCTATGTTGCAAGGCTATACTGGGCATTTCTTTTGAACATTGTGGGCAATTTAAACCTTTCTTCTATTTTTATGATAAGGATTCTTTTATTTATTTGTTGTAGAGAGAGTCTGGGAAGGCACATGAGCATGTCTTTAATTATTGTCAGCTGAGTCCCGTGGCATTGGCAGAGCCGTGCCAGAGGCAGGTGGCAGCGGCAGGTACGTCGTCAGCCTGACCCTTAGCTCAGATGCCAGGGGGTGGGTTTCATTATCTCAGTTCAGCCAGGCGCAAGGAACGGCCGCAATTATCCGCGCTCGGCCAGGAGCGACGATTACAAAGAAGCCACAAAGAATGAAAAATTACACCTTGATCTTCCACCATGACGATAGCTTGATGGTTCACCATGATTCCACGTGATTTCCTTCGTTTTGAACTCCGTTAACGCTTCCTGGAATTATACTGTACATAATAAACGCGCTGACCGGCTCTGGGTCCCTGTCTCTCCCGCAGAGGACAGCTGTCCCACCCGGTCCCAGCTTCCCCCTGTCTCTGTGTCTCTTTCTTTCACTTTCTCAATCCCCAGTCGCCCCTACTCAGGACTTGTGTCCGCTCTCTAGCCGCGCTGGGTACGGTAAAGAGAGAAATCCTATATAATAAAAGGCTAATATGCAAATTGTCTCCTGGAGCAGGGGGTGGGGCAGGCTGGCCAACTGCCCTCGGCCCCTCCCCCTGGCCCGCCTGGCCCAATCGCGCCCAATGGGGTGGGCCGGCCAGACCCCACCTGTGCACGAGTTCCTGTACCTGGCCTCTAGCACTTAATAACTTGTGTTCATGACTTTTTGGGGTGGGTTTTTAATTTTTTTCCATTTTTAAATATATTTTTATTGCTGATATTATGACAGATATCTCCCATCCTCCCCTTCCCCCCATCTCCTCCCAGTCCCTAACGCCCGCCCCCGCCCAATTGCGATGTACATGCCCTTGACCGAAATCGAACCTGGGCCCCTTCAGTCCGCAGGCTGACGCTCTATCCACTGAGCCACACCGGTAGGGCTTCTCTTCCCTTTGGTACATTCATCGCCCACCTGATCCGAAGATGGGAAGCTATTAGTAATAACTGGGGAGGGTCTCTATGTATCTATATAACTATTAAAGATCTATCTATCGATCTATCCCTCCCCCTTCTTCTCGTCCCCACCTCTCCACCCTAGTCCAAACCACCACCATACCCCAAGTGGACTATTGCAATATCCCCTTAACAGCTCTCCCCGATTGGGCCTCAACCAACCCCCCTCAATTACCTTAGGGTAGCTAGAACATTCCTTTCGCAATGTAAGTCACATCTCTCCCTCACTCACAACTTTCCAAAAGGCTTTTAGCCACACTTTGCATACAACCCCAAGGCCTTGCCCCGTGTGCCTCAGGGCCTTGGCACATACGCCACCTGTCTGCAAGGTCCTTCCTCCAAGCTCAGCCCTGGGTTGGGG